AGATTACTCGATTACTAAAATATTTGTTTACAACAGCCCTAATTCAGAGTGCTACTGAGTCAGGTAGGAACAGTCAGAGAGCTGTATTAGAAGTAACATAACTTTCTTATTTTTATTTCCCATTCTTAATAAGTGTCTCATTATCTTGGGCTGGAAGTTTAATTAGCTCATATTAGCTGAATTAATTTGACTTCAGGTCAGACTGGAACCACTCCAAGCATTTGACAAGTAGTAATGAATTCCCTAGCAATGGCGATTACATGGAGATGGCGATAAAATGTGATGTGACACTAAATATCCAAATATTAGGATATTTTGACAGTAATGGGAGATGTGCGTTGTTCATGTGTTCAAGAAAAGTTCAGTTTTTACATGTTAGTGTCTCCCTTGCAGATATCAAAACTTTGTGCAAGTACAAAGTGCGCTACATTTATATAAATAGAGAAAAAACTACAAAAATCTATAGTGTGAACATATTGTAATGATTCTGTGTTTTAGTTCTGCTGGTGTGGATATGGTTATGTGTATTTGTTGTATGTTACATTGTGATCTTTATTATGTGTATAAAGTTATAGGCTTCCCCTGACTGACTCTGCTGACTCCCACTCACATGACAGAGATCTGTCATGTGGGCGGGGGATCAGGGGAGCAGCAAGAGGGACCGGAAGAGGAGGGAGTTCGGTGTGTGTTAGCAGGAAGCTAGTTCAAAAAGCGCTACGGTTTGTTGGAGGTGTGGGCTGCGCCTCAAAATAGCAGCTCGTTTCTACGACTAATAAACCCGTTTGGTGGGACTTCTATCTGTCGTATGCTGGCGTCATTACAATATGAATTTAACTTTACCTGATTCTTTACTGGTGTTATATAATTCCCCTTCTTTCTCCAATCAATGGAATCTGGATGTGGTCCATTACTGCTCAAGTAGCTTCCTTTAGTGGCAGAGCAGTTCTACAAATTGCAATAGGCCTACAAGTTGACAAAGAAAATCCAACACACAAGTTCTTTGTGAACAAAGTTTGGTGCAAATGACATTACCTGAGGTTCAGACAAGAGGAAATACTTCCGGAACTCATTGAAAGTCATGTCTGAAAATCCGTTGAGTCCCACTTTTTAGAGATAAGAAAAACATAGTTTAGGGGGGTGCCAAATGATAGAATTAATGAAATGAATAATAATAAAAAAAATCCTACTTGTGAAAGAGTGATTCCCTTCATTGTGTTTGTCAATCATCCTCTTGTTCTCCGTGAATATTCGTAGTCTTTGGTAGTACTCCTCGAAGTCGTACGCTTTGTTGTACTGTACAACGCAGGAGCGCAAAGTTTATTGTCAGTGCTGCACTGATTTTTCACCTCAGGTAACTTCCGTGTAACAGTGCACTTAGAAAACACATAGAAAACTTTCAGCAGGAAGAAAAAAAATGTAAACAGACCCACCTGTGCCATCCATGATTTGAAATGAAACTCGTCTGAAAAATAACACAGAGCATCAAAATGCGTCGGGTGCCGAAAATAAACAGTAAAATGTAACTTGACACCAAAGTGGTATATTGAAAGTGAAACTATGCAAAAGCGAACAATAAGAGCCACTTCACTTCAGTATTGATGTCTTACCTCGTTTAGTCAAGTAAAAAGCTGAAGTTAAGGACACGAAGCTAAGCAGAAGCCAGACCCTAGTCATGTTCACTTGTTAGCGCTCCGGCCGGAGTTGAAGGTGGAGAGAAAACAGATGAGGGAGTCACGAGGCGAAGTGCTGCCCTACAAGTAACATGAAACGTTCAGCAGTTTGTGACGTCAGTTTATTGTCGGAATAAGGCACCAATAAAAAAACACAGCTCCTGCTGCCACAGTCGGTAACCACGGAGTGGAGAAGAGGAGAGGGAGCACCTGCTGAACCACAGCTCAAGTAGGGAAGTTGTAATAGCATTGCTATGCTATGCTTTATCATAACTTTGTAAATATGAAATGAACAACGTAGTAAAAGAGCAGCAAAGTGCAGTCTTTCCTGGGTTCAAGTTGGTCAATTAGGAAAACTAGCCAAATCTCCATTTAATTTTATGCCTCCTGCATTTTATTTTTAATTTGCAAGCCTGAATACCGATAACCCCTTTAATAACTTTTCATTTTACAGACTACATGCAATTTAGTACAGTTTCTGAAGTAAACCTTTAATCCTGAAAATATTAATACCCCTGGCGAATTTAGGTTTGAAGCAATGTTTTACTTCTGCGAAAATTTTTTGTCTGACTCAAAGTAATTTTGACATTTTCGAGTGGCCCAGCCAGAGTCACGATATGAACCTCATGGAGAACCTGTGAAAGGAGCTAATGATTCGGGCAATTTTAAGGAGGTTGTTCTGTCCACAAATGCTTTGTGCTCAATTGTAAATATAAACCATAAAGAGCAATAAATGATTCAATGGAAACATGCAAACAGGGTCAATGAAAAACACATACATGCTTTTTCAAAATTGATACTCTTTTTACAGTGTTTTGTTGTCTTTAGAGATATGCCTGTCTCTGTGTGTTAGAAAAAGAAATGCTTGGTTGAATTGAAACAATATTAAATAAAAAATTATTAATGTTATGCTTCATTGTAACAGAAAGATACAAGCTAGTATCTGTTTTTTCCAAGTAGTTTTGACATTGATGATTGAGGTTTACATATCTTGTGTATTTTTTATGGAGACCGATTCACCAAAAATCTCAGTCTTTCACAAAAAGGAATTCTGCTTTTTAATTTTTAAATTATATTTCACTGATATTCAACAAAGAAAATGTGTCCTAGTTTTCTTGCTGGACACTACATATATTTTAGCCTTATTACAAAATTGGTTGTGCAGAACTATTAGATCTACAAAAACACTTGAGACAACATAACCCTGAGATAAAATGGATTTATTAACAAGAGGTAATTGGGAAACATATTTTTGCTTATTTGTTGTTATGCTCATCTTCATAATTTTCTTTTTTCATCTTTTTTTTTCTTACAAACTGGGAATATTTCTTAAGCTGTGGAAACGAAAGGATTGAAAGATAATTTTCATACCACTGGGTATTGCTAACAGCAAAAATGTTTATTTGTTTAAATACCTTATAAGATTATGTGCATGTATAAGTGTATACATTATCATTAAATAGTTCAATTCTGTCTGTGAAGGTGTTGCATGCCTACTACATGAGCCATAAAAGTGTACTGTACATACATCGTAAAAATACATACAGATATTCACAGAATAAGCACTACATTACTATATTCCTGCTAACAGAAATGATTATAAACAGGATTACAGTATAAATGCAAAACACTTTGAAGTTGTGTCTCTACCTCTAAGTCATGGTTTCAAGACCACACTGTTGTAGCATTTTACATAGAGCTTGTTTTTGAGAGGGATACACTGTTCCACATTGAGAAATATGCCAGCTCGCATGTACAAAATGTACAGCATGTCTCAGTGAAGTGAATTAACAACAAAGTACAAAATACTTCCCCAGGTTCATATAAAGAGCAGATTCACTTTCTTGTATACTACTACAAAAATAGTGTTTGAATGCTGCAGGCAGAGGTCATTCACATACATTTTATCATAGTTTTTAACAGCAATGCATATAACAGAGTGATATACAGTCACGTTCCACAATCACTGGAACAGCAAGAAGGACAGATTGTCTTTTTAATTACAGAAGAGTAACAACCTTTTACTCTACAGAAGTAAAACCCAAACTTTAAGGTATAACACTTAGAACCTTATGTGGTCTTTTAGTGAATCTTCTAAGAAAGGAAATTTGAGCAAACTGTATAGTCTTGTCAAACCTTTAAGCAACAGAAATCTTTTTTTTTTGTTTGTTTGTTTTACCTTAAATCATTCCAATGCATAAGAACATAAATCTTCTTAATCACTGCAATTTGTCATCCAGCTTTCAGCTGAATTTCTTAATTAAACCAAGATGTTTAGATTCTGGAGCCCTCATGTAAGAGGGGTAGAACACTTTCCTGTCAAAATTCATACACTTGATCAATTTCAGGTTAATAAAAACATGTATCTCAGAGCTGAGGTTTGCAAATCCTGGACTGATGACCATTGCAAGCCTTTTACAACATTTACCAGACAATAAAACAGTCGTGGGATTAAAATCAAAGACAGAAAGGAACTCCACAATCTAACAGATGTTTAATAGTTAAAAAGGGTATATCATATTTTATAGCCAGAAAATCTACATTTCCATTGGTTTTAAAGGTGGAAAAGTAATTTTTAAAACTCAACTTTCTGAAAGGTAAAACAAACCCCCTGAGCATAAAAGAAAAACTTACTTCCCTATTCTATTGTGACATCCACCTTGAGACATAGCACTTTCAGAGGGTGTAAACAGGTGAGTGAGAGGCAGGGGGGCAAAACTTTCTAAGATTTGGCAAATTTGGATTAGTTCAATGGAAGTAGGCACAGTCAGGGAGGACAGATTTTTCCCCAGTCACCAAATCTCTCCATTTGAAACTTGTGTTTTCAGATATAAATCACTAGAAATTCAGATTTAAGAGAAGGAACAATCCAAAACTAAGACTAAGGACACAATAGTTCATACCACGGCAATAATAAAAACCTTTAACAGGTAATAAACAGTCTCTTACTTTTAAGTGTCCTCTGTTGGTACAAAACAATATGTCGAAAACCTCAAAATAAATTTTTGACTGCTGTTTCACTGTAGTTTAGTTAAAGCCTACGTGGAGCAACGTGGAACCTTTGCAATCACTGCATGCTAATATAAACTAGGCTAGTTGCACCGCCTTTTTTTAAAATTTATTTTTAGAGAAACGCATGCCTGTGCACATCAAAATAATATTGTTGATTAGAAGCAGATAAGAAATTGCACCTATCTGAAAGCTGCCAGAATTTGGGTGTTTCAAATTGCATGACTTTGGTGCAAGAGTTTATTCACTAATACAGTGAATTAAATACATTGTGCTCTCCATGGAGCACCATCATGTCTCCAGGCTACTCCCTGTCGGACCACGCCTTTTCTCATTTCCTCCTCAGTTATTAATCTGTCTATATAGATGTTTCTCGGACCAACTCATTCTTGAGCTTGAAACTTAGTTATCACATTTTGTCTTGGAAAGCTAATGTGTTATGCATTGAGTGCATGAATTTGGCACTCCACTTTGCCATTATTCCAAGGCAGTTTTTGATTGTGGGCAAATATCACTTTTCTGCTAGTTTTTCTTTCAAGGCTTTTACAAAAATTCCTAAGTTTCTGTTATAGAAATTAACAGATAAGTTTCAACTACAAGCCTAAGCACAATTGAAAAGTTGTAAAAATAGATGATATATGCCCTTTAATAAAGTCTGCATAATATCTTTTTAAATGTGACGATCTAAAATTGTAGCTGTTTTTGTTTGCATATATTTATTACAAATTAGAAAGAAAAAAAAACCCTGTTGTCAGATTTCTCAGTATACCTTTGTCTAACTGACATGTAAGCAATGTTTAATGTTATTTTATGGTTTAGAACCAGCTTAGAAGCGCCTCTACGCTCAAAACATCCCCAGAGCAAAACCTTATTTTGTGAAATTTGCTAAAAATGTCTATCACTGATAATACTGTATCTAAAGCAGACCATGCTTGCTGTGTGATTTCAGCAACCTAAGGATTTCAGGAACCTTTAAGGATTAGGATTACTCTAGAAGAAGAAACAAAGATACACAATTATGTGTACCTTAGAAGTGAGCAGAATGACATGAGCATTTTCAAAATATAACAAATATAAACAATGCTCCATCTAAATTGCATTCCTGGTTGGTCGGATTAGGTTGATTCACAATAAAAGTCAGTGAAATTGATATAAAACAATTGGGAACCACCAGGGTTTAGACTGATGAACGAAAACAAAGACACAAATATCTTCCTTTTTTGGTTTGGGAAGCACAGAGACACAAATGCTTTGGATATCTTGCTGTCATTTCCACTCATCATTGTTCCCTCTTTTAAAATACAATTAGCCTATTTCCTCCAGGCTCTTTTACCTGATTTTTTTTTTTTTTTTGCAATTCATTTATACAATGCTACATTGGTTGCAGAGAACTTCAATGATCAATAAAACTCAAGCTTGCTGAACAAAGGCCAGCAGCATTAGTGCTCAGAAAGTGCAAATTCGACACAGTATTATATGATGCAAAAATAATGTCATTGGTCACTAAGAAACACGGTTGCATGCAACTACAGTGACCTCTATTATTATTATTATTATTATTATTATTATTATTATTAAAATACTCAAACAATTTAAAACAAAGGTCCCTAGGGGAGGCGTCAACATGACAACAAAAAATATACACCAAAATTATTTGTGTCATCAAACAACTTTGAACATCTACTGTACAGAAGAACAAATATCTTTACCATGTACAGCTATACAAATGCAAATGTAGATGTTAACTTATATGTAATATTAACAAAGGAAACAAAGTGTGAAGGTCCACTTCCCCCATCAGTTGGGCACTTTAGGCTCAATTCTGAGTGAGGCTTCATACATGCTTTCCTCATCAAGAACAAAGCTCTTGTCCAGCAGGTACTGGGCTACCTGGAACAGACCAAGAAACAGCAAAGGTTAAGGACTGCAACAGATTAGGTAATATGCTTAGGTTCACAAACAAAAGATCTCTGGCAACCAACTATTTTCTTTGAACAATTACAGAGATATTCAACATTAACACTGTAAAAACTTTTTTTTCCACACTAAATCTAAAAAAAAAAAAAAAATACTTCAAGATATGTTCGTATCAAAGATCCTAAAAAATATGGAGGAAATTTCTTTCATCTTGAGCTTGATAGACACTAGTGTATAACAAACAGCTCTTAAAACCATACCATGGTCCATTGCCCAATTTTAACAACAAAATACTTTCTAACTAACACATGCGTTTTGGTGCTTTTGTTACTGGACGTTTATCGGTTTGAGCGTGATTTTTAAAGG